TATGAATGGTATCATACTGTACAGTAGTTTCTGTAGTTTGCTTTTGTCACTCAACATTTTGTTGTTGAGATACATCAGGCTGATATAAAGCAGTTTTCTCAGCACAGTCCCTGTTTGCCAAACTGCATGTTTGCTGAGTTGCATCTGTCTTTAAAGGGTGACTTCTTCTAATTAATCCACTGGTGTGAGGGGTAAGTTGAACGTTTTTTCTTTTCTCACAAGGGATGGTACAAGCTAAAGGTGGCCATTTCCTCAGTACAACCATGGTATAGATTCCATTGTAGAAGTATACCACAGTTCTATTGACGGACCTGTTGGGTTATTCTATATGTTTTGCTATTAAAAGTCATACTTCATTGAACATTTTTGGACCTGTGTCTTTGTGCACACCTGTAAGATATTTCCTAGAATATATATATAAAAGTGGAGTTGTCGGGGTGCATATACCAAACTGCTTCTCAGGCTTGGCACAGTGGCTCATGCCTGTAATCCCAGCACTTTGGGAGGCTGAGGCGGGCAGAACACTTGAGTTCAGAAGTTGGAGACCAGCCTGGCCAACATGGTGAAAACCCATCTTTACTTAAAAAATAATAATAATACAAAAATTAGCCTGGTGTGTTGGTGGGTACCTGTAATCCCAACTACTTGGGAGGCTGAGGCACAAGAATCACCTAAACCTAGAAAGGTAGAGGTTGCAGTGAGCTGAGATCACTCCAGCCTAGGCAACAGAGCAAGACTCTGTCTCAAAAACAACAGGAGCAAAAACCAAATTGCTTATCAAAGTGGTTTTACATTTACATTTTGACTAGCAGTATATTAGTGTTCTTGATGCTTTCTGTATATCTTTGTTATCAGATTTTTTTTTTATAATTGCTGGATTTGAAAAGAAATTTCATTGTGGCTTTACTATGTTTCTGATTACTGGTAAAATAGAATATCTTTTTATGTATTTATTGGCTATCCAGATTACCTGCTCTGAAAATTAGCTCTTCATATCCTTTGCTTATTTTTTTGAGGGGTTGTCTTTCTTAATGATTTGTAAGAGTTACGTATTCAGTCATTTTATATTTTTGTGGGTTACATGTCTCCTTGTAGCTTGTCTTTTCACATTAGGGCATTTGGCATAGTTTAAAAATTTGGATCTTAACAGAATCTTGATATTTACCTTCATAGTTTGTACTTCTTACGTCTTAATTTGTAGTGACATCTCTGTATTGAGTTTTCATAGATTCATGGGGTGCTAATGTTTAGATCTGTAATTATAATTAAGTTTTAGTTTCGTTATTTTTCCCTATTGAGTTCAGTACCTTTATGGGTTTTTTCCCAAGAGACAGGGTCTTCCTTTGTTGCCCAGGCTGGAATGAGTGCAGTGACACCATCACAGCTCACTGCTGCCTCAAACTCCTGATCTCAAGATCCTCCCACCTCAGCCTCCAAAAGAGTTAGGACTACAGGCACGTGGCAACGTGTCTGGCTGATTTTTTTTTCTTTTATTTTTGGTAGAGATGAGGTTGTGCTGTTACCCAGGTTGGTCTTGACCTCCTGGGCTAAAGTGGTCCTTCTGCCTCAGCCTCCCAAACCACAGGATTGCAGGTGTAAGCTACCACGCCCAGCCCTGTTATGTGTTTAATTTCTTTTATTTGTTCATTCATTCAGTGATTCAGTCAGAAATACTTGAGTGCCCATTACATGCTAGATATGCTGCTAGGTGCTGAGATACAGATATAAATAAGACAAAGTCACTGCCTCATGGAGCCACATTTCTGGTGGGGGAAAGATGCATAGTAAGCACTATCCAGCAAGTTGGTGTGTACAAAGATGAATTAAGTGCTATGTAGATATTTATGAAGGGATATGTATACCAGGAATATGTTGGGGCAGTATGCGGTCTTATAGAGGGAGTAGGGAAGGCCTTGTTAGTAAGAAAACCTGGTGAATGGGAGAGAATAGGCCAAGTGGCTATTTGAGGGAAGAAAATTACAGGCAAAGGGCAATTACAGGTATAAGACTGAGGTGGAATATGCTTGACTTACTAGAAGTAAAGAGAACTACTGGAGTTCTGATTTTCTGTAATTCTTGAGGATGAGGCCTGCTTTTTTACTGTCTGCTGATTCTCATTTATGATGAATTGTCATGTTTACTAATATTGGATTATACATTCATCTTCAGCAAAGTTTTAGCTATGCAATGAGATTTCAGAGTAGTTTTGTGTCTTCCAGGCACTCAGCTCCTGGCCTAAATGGATGTTATAAATTAGATATCAAATTTACATGGTTGTCATTTTTCTCATCTAGATCCCAGACTTGGCCATTCAAGCCTCCTTGTCGTCTCCCTGTGCCTGTGGTTGGGGGGTTGGGGGAGTGAAGGATGGAGTGGTGCAGTTTTTTCACATATTCTTTTCCTGGGGTTGCGGTCTTAATGGTAATTATCGTGATTTTATGCATTGGCTTCAGATTGCGTTTTCTGTTTAGTACAAGTCCACAGCTTTAATTCTTGGATTACAGAGACACTCAAACTATCCTACAAAACCAACAAAAACTGGGCTTTTGCTGTGTCATCTCACTTTGGGTTACTCCTGATTTCTGGCTTTGGGGGTTTCCTTCTCTTGGGAGCTCAGCTGTGCATGCAAAGAATGTGTGTTGTATTTTTTCTAAGATTTCTAGGTGTTTGAAGCAGATGGGTTTCATGTATAGTGTTAGGTTAGATCCTGCTTTATTTCCTCCACGAAAACCATTAAGACTAATCAGGAAGTGCTAGTCAGTTGACAAATAAGAGATTTAGTTTAGCAGAAATTTCAGGGTATTCCTGGAATTTGGGCAACAAATATCTAGTTTCAAAAACCCTTGTAGACTTCGTATATTGCTATTGATAGTGAGGTGGTATGGGAGAGTTAGAGATCTATGCTCAAGTTTTTGTAAATTCAGAGATGCTGTTTTGCTACTGTTAATAAATGCATATAATTGCTCCAGTACTTTATCAAATTCCCTTTTAGTCTATATTTATGTAAACCTAGTTTGATACTCTTGATACATTAAGTATGTTGAGCCATTCTTACATTCTTGGAATAAATGCTGTTTGGCCATCTCCTTAATATATATGATTGTTCCGTTTGATAATATTTTGAGTAAAAAATTATATAGTGAATCCTGTTTGCTTCATGGACTGACTATAGGTAATAGTATATCTTTTTCTGTGAGCAGAAGTAATTTATGAAAGAGAATCATGTTTGAAGAAGTAAATATGCCTCAGTTTCAAATGATCTTTTAGGAGCTCTGTATAAACAATTCCAATATATTTCTCAGTTATTAAACTACCTTTTTTCTTGTCTAACTTCTAGCAATTTTTACATTAATATTTCAAACAACCATGTTTAAGTAAATTACTAGAAAAGGAACTCTTTGGGGGAACTTTATTAAATCCATGAAATTTTCTGTTGGCAGTTAAAGGTTTTGTGTTTTCTAAAAGTTAGGTAATATTTATTTTTAGAAAAGTTTGCTTTTCAAAAAGCGTTTTCATTTTTATTGTGGTCAGAATGTGCTATGAATTTTAAGTAGCTAAACTGTACCTCATTAATTGTTTTCTCTAAAAAGCTTTACTGCTTTTGCTTCCACTCCACTACTTAGTGAGAACAGGGGTAACAATTTTCCACTAGAATTGTTTGTCACTTTATTCTTGTACTTTTGTTATACTACTGAACATCTTTTTTAATCATTGCCACAAAATATCTCGCTTTTACCATTTTCACATCACTCTAGTATATCAACTTTGGAAACAAAAGACATCATTCTAATTATAGCATTCTGTTTTTAGTAGTGGTATTTCCATATACAAAATACAGTAATTCTTGATCGCTGAAAATTGTCAAATCCTAGAAAACATAGCATGCCTGTGCGTGATGTTAACATCCTTCTTGAACAGATGTTGAAGATTCATTTGATGAATCCGATTTTTCCAAAATAGATGAGTCTGATGATTCAGATGATTCTGGTGTTAGTTCTGTATAGAAATAACTCCAAGAACACTTTTAATATTTATTTTCACATTGAAAAGCAGATTTGCTCAGTCTCAAAGAGCATATTTATGTAAAATTAAGTGATAGAAATAAGCTGTACTTTTTTTTCTAAATGGGAAGGTATTAAAAAAGAAAAGTCTCATTTTAGTAACATAGTCTTCCTTAAACTCTGTATGCCACTTGTCAGATTTCCGAAAACTGAAAACATGGAAGGAAAAGGGTTTGATATGAACAACAGCTTTGCTGGTAAATAAACCCAACTGAACATATTAACTTGGGTGTCTACTAATTTGTTAGATCTAAGATTATCTAAGGTAACCTCTTTTTCTAGTCTTTTACTGTGTGAACTTAACCTTCTGCTGAGTGTTTGCAGAACTTCCATATAATCTTGCTTATGACCATTTCTGCATTATTTATATCATCTTTTAGAAGTCTTATCCAGGTTGATATAGGTTACTGTGCTCTAGATCCATGTTTTCCATTTCTTTTAATGTGGCATTAGGTGTTTAGTCAATTTTTGAATGTGTTGAGAGATGCTGTGTCATTGTAAGCTTTCTTCTTTTCTGAATGGATTAGCTTTTTAAAATTTTACCTTGCATTCTTTAAATTCGGCTTGTCACTTTGTACTTCAGGATTTTGAGTGTTCTGTTTTCTTACTGCATTGCTTTTCTTATACCCTGCAGATTTTTCATTGGCCTTAGACTTTTTGTTGTTAACTCATTCTTCTTTATCTTCATTTGTTTCTGCTGAATATTGTTTCAAACTAAAAATAACATTCCACATTTTAATTGATGTGTGGACTCTTAATCTGCTTAAAATGTAGGGTGAAGTTCCATGATTCCAGCTAGTCTGGAATATGTCATTTAACTGGATGTTAATCCACCTACATTGTTCCCTAAGTGACATGTGGGTCCCAGTCTGCTGACATATTTGTGGGTCCTGGTAACAACGATTTGGGTAGACTTGCTGATTCCTCTTCTCTCCTTAGTGGAAGAGAAAGCCAATACCCACCTCCTCCTGGGCATGTGCTTAGACGCCTGTGCTCGCTACCTTCTGTTCTCCAAGCAGCCATCACAGGCACAAAGGATGTATGAAAAAGCTCTGCAGATTTCTGAAGAAATACAAGGAGAAAGACACCCACAGGTAAGGGAGGAAAACATAGAAGAGGGAATATAAAACAAAGATTTCAAATTGACGGGTGTGAAATGTCACACTCATTGAGAACAGAATCAGCAGATGGTCCTAGATCCTTCTTGCTCCCCAGTCTACTCATTTTCTTACCACCAGTACCCTCACCCCAACCACTTGTTTCAGAAAAGATTTGGGACTAGTTATCAGTTACTAGGTCTGTCCAGAACATGTGCATGAGCCATGGTTTGCACAACAGAGCAACCTTTCTACAAGGCAGGACTGGTCAGGCTTCAAAGGACACAGCACAGTATTTCAGAGTGGGGTCTGTATATACCCCCATTAGAATCTTTATGAGGAACATTTTAATACACGAATATCCTTGCCTTCCTTGCCTCCCAGTTAAAATGGCAGGAGGTGAGGGAAAGAATCAGGGACCACATTAAAAACACTTTTAAATCATTGGCTATTATAGAATTTAAGTATAATGTGTAAAGCTCTGTGTTAGAACACTAAACACATTGAATTGAAATCATCATCTTTTTGGGTCTCTCCTCCATCAAAATAAGTTCTTAGATGTAAGGAGTGCATCGCTTTGGCTATGAATGCTTGCTACTCCCAATGTATGACAACTTTAACTGAATGTGTCCCAAGGCTGGGGTATGTGGATAGGGTAAGTAATACGTTTTGGAAGAAAAGGGAAGTTGAGCTATGAATTATCTCCATGAAAGGGATTTAAGACTTATTATGAAGAGTCTCCTAATGGAGTGAGGAATAATAAGCAAGCAAGCACAGAATTCAGATCTCCAAGTACTAGTGTCAGGGGGCTTAAAGCATGGCATCAGTGGGGAAGAAGGTATGGAAATCTACCTCTTATAGTAGCCAGATTGAAAAAACTCTTACTGGGCATCCTCCTAAATAGATTCTGCACTTCTTGTTTTTGATGAGCCTCAGGGTTATCAGCAGGAACAGCTTAATACAGTGGAGCTCCAGAGGCAAACAAACCATAAGGGGCTGGCTTCTCAAAGTTGCTCAGCCTTAACTGGGATCATATATATAGCTTCTTGCTGTTGTTTTTTATTTGGTACTTCTAATTGGGTAATTAGTTGGAATAAGGTATATCCGTTCCCTAATTTCCTTCTCAAAAGGTCAAACTAACATTGTCCACTGTACAATGTGATTAACAAATGCCCACAAATTTGTTAAAGGCTGACATCTCTCATCTTTTATGGAATGCTAGGAAAGATTAAATCTTACATATTCACAGTTGGATGAACTCCACATTAACATTCTATGCAGGCATGTTTTTAAAGAAAAAACGTTTTTTCTTTTACATATAGACGATTGTGCTGATGAGTGACCTGGCTACTACCCTGGATGCACAGGGCCGCTTTGATGAGGCCTATATTTATATGCAAAGGGCATCAGATCTGGCAAGACAGATCAATCATCCTGAGCTACACATGGTACTCAGTAATCTAGCTGCAGTTTTGATGCACAGAGGTAGGTAGCAATGGAAACTTAACTGACTTGCTTTAAGGGAGGGATGTCACTGAATTGGTAAATTTGTGAAATGGTGTGTAGGGAAGGCAAGGGCCAATGAAGAAATTCATACATTAAAAGGCTGGTTGAATAATGGCAGGAAAAAACTGAGGTATTAGGTTGAAGTACGATTGTGCTCAATTCACAAAACCTCTACAGTCCTGCACTAGCGTGTCAAATATCATCAAGCTGCAGAAAACTTTGCGATGATAGTCCCTTATTTTCAGAAACCTGGGATGACAGATGTATTACACATACCACCACCATTCATGAAATCTTTGGCTAATTGAGGACCCCAGGATATACTGGAAAGGACGGTTAGAAATTCCACAGAATTCAGTGGAGTTCCAGCCTGTCAGATGGGGATGAGATGAGGCAGCACCAGCCTGTCACTTCATAAGCACGCAGTAAATTATCCCTATAGCCTCATTAGTGCTCTCTCTTCAGAATCACCTTGAAAACATACACTTTCTTACTATCCCTTCTCTCTGGGTTGTTTTAGAACGATATACACAAGCAAAAGAGATCTACCAGGAAGCACTGAAGCAAGCAGAGCTGAAGAGAGATGAAATTTCTATACAGCACATCAGGGAAGAGTTGGCTGAGCTGTCAAGGAAAAGTATACCTTTGACTTAAATTGTCAAGCTCTAAATCCATTTTTGTGTAGGGAGAATAATGTCTAGTAATGCAGAAGAATAGCTATTATTCCTGTCTCTGTGGCACCCAAATCAATGGCTTAAATCTGTCGTTTTTGGTATTCAGGTTTCCTCAATTTTGCCTTAGTGAAGGACGAGTTATATACACTGCCATTTTTGTATTAGGAAAAATGACTTTCATTCCCAATGATTATGATCTTTCAGGACTGCTATGAAGTAATGGTTTCAGTTGTAACATATTGACTAGGTGCTGTCCCTGCTGGTGTAAGTAGAACTGTAGATTAATATGGGCTGGCTTTCCTGTGGGCTGTGGGTGTGGTGATTCAGCCCGGCATTTCTATCATCAGTTTGTGGTCTACTGATTTCCTGCCCTCTCTTCTCTTTATCACTATCTGGCAAACTGACCAGAATTACCTTTCTCATGGCAAAGGGGGATTATGGTGAGTTTTTCTTATAATCTGTTTCATGAAGCACAATGTGGAATTTAATGCATAAAAGAGAAAAAGTAAGTTTCCTACCAGCATCCAGCACAAAATTTTAAAGTGGGAATTGGGCATGTGACAGTATGTAGCACCCAAATTTTATTTGAATTTAAATAAAAGTGAACCATATGTATCTGGTTATATAAAACTACTTAAAAATAGGGGTGGGCTAGAAGGAATGATGTAACCTTTTGTCGATGTTATCTGAGCACTCTACTTCCCAGCCTTAGTCACACAACTGAGTCACCTCAAGTACTCTTTAAAGACACACACCCAGGGCTGAGTCAGAATAGGGCCCTACAGGTGTATTTCAAAACTTCTTGTAATTCTGTTGTGTACTGCTGGTATAGTTGAACTACTGACGTGGATCTTAGTCCTAGCCTTTTTGCTTTTGTGATTTCAGTATCTTCATCTGTGAAGTAGGGAAACACTGAGATTCTTTCTTAGCCATGGGAGAAGGTATTTGATTAGATGACTTTGAATGAATAGACTGCTGCGCTAAAAGAGCTTATCACATTGCCGCAAAGTATGTAAAGATACATAGGTGGATGCTCTTACCTCAGCAGTTGTACAAATGTATCTTGAGCCATTTACCTAAGGGAAAAGACAGTTTTTCTAGGCACCATGAAGGAATACTGAAACTGTTGGTATGCCTGTGTGGGTGGGATGTGAGTGGGACTGATAAACTGATATTTTTGGTTCGTATGTACATACTGGAAGAATCTTTTCGTAATAAATGAGACTACACAACAATATTGTACGTATCCCAGTAATCTTTGCATTTCTCAAAAAACAAAACAAACAAAAAAAAAACTTCCTGAAGAATTAATGAAAACACCGGAAACCTAAGGTCCAAATCCTCAGGGATTAGACTAAAACTAGAATTTTGTTCTGTCTAATCTCATATTATTTACCACCTACATAATGCCATTAATCAAGTCTAGCTCAGAGAGAGAAATAAAATATAAATCAGACTGTCAGTAGAAACCAGTATTAACATATGGTGATTTCTTTAAAAAATTAATGTCAATCACTTACCTTTTGCATTGAGAATGTTTTTACTTTTTCACAATTTGCAGGGGTTACTGAAAGGTTTTTCACTGCAAGTTTTTTTTATTTATTTATTTTAAATCATCCACAGTAATTAAGTTCATGGTCCGGTTGTTGGAAACACTAGGAGTTTTCAGGACAGTCTCTTCTTGTGGGTGTTCTCATTACAGTTCATTTACACTGTTGTAAAATAAGGTACTGAAGCAAAGGGAGGACTGATCTCCTTTACTGACTGGTCCAAATTCAAAAGTGAATTGGTTAAAATTATATGACTAAATTTTTGGACTGTCCAATGGTCAGTGGAGTTTTTCAGTTTTAAAAATAGAATCAGTGTACAAAGATTAAAGCATTATGAAATTTCCAGTCATAAATATGCACTATAAAATTGGCTGTCAGAATATTTCTATGAAGCGTACTTGGAAGACTTTAGTTCTGAGGGTTAAAAAAACTCACGTGTAAGGATATAGTGTCACAGCACTGAAATCTAAGCCTACAAATATCAGGCCTTGGTTTGCAGTGAACTTCAGTAAGTTGTCAGGTACTGCTCCATGCTGTGCTTACCACTTAGATCATGATAAGGTGAACCTCCACAGGTAAGCCATGTGAGAATTCGGTCCTTTCATTTTTTTGTTTTTGGAACCAAGAACTGTTACTGGATTTTAACTCTCATTCTGAGATTTCTTCTCCAAGTGATGGTAAATAAAGTAATACGCACATGCATCATGATGAGGATAGAGTAGGTGGTTCACAGCAGCTCACCTTCAGGTCCTCAAGTGGAACTGCAAGAGTGACAAGTTAGGCTCTGATCTGACATGTTCTCAGAAACTATACAGTTGACCTTCAAACAATGCAGGAATTAGGGGCATGGACCCCCTAAGTAGTCAGAAATCCACATCTAACTTTGTCTCTGCCAAAACTTAATGTCTACTGTTGACCGGAAGGCTTACGGATAACATAGTCGATTGACACATATTTTGTGTATGTATTATATGCTATATTCTTACAATAAAGTAAGCTAGAGAAGAGAAAATGTTATTAGGAAGATTATAAGGAAGAGAAAATATATTTACTATTCATTAAGTGGAAGTAGATCATCATGAAGGTCTTCATCCTCATCATCTTCATGTTGAGTAGGCCGAGGAAGAGAAGGGGTTGGTCTTGCTCTCTCGGGTGGCAGAGGTGGAAGAAAATCCATGTATAGTGGCCCCACACAGTTCAAACCCATGTTGTTCAAGGGTCAACTGTATTCTCACTCCGAATACCTTAAGACCCTCAGGGTCATAGAAAAATACCATCATAATCTCTTTTATGGTAGGTTGGCAATATAAATTATTAACAAACTCTAAAATATTACCAGTACCTCAAAAAAAATCCATCAGAAAACTGTAAAGTGGAACATTTAGTCATTGTTTCTCATTCATATTGAAATTTTTATGTGTTTACGTATACCTATTGTAAAAATAATACCAACTTTCCAAGTAATAGGAATGCTGAGCACTAACCCTGATCTAAAGTTTATGCTGGAGACCTCAGGTATACCGGAGTGGAACAGGGACAGAAATGAAAGATTTCACTGAAGACAAATGTGGGCTTATGGCCTATCTCTGTCACTAGTTTAACTACATGGGCAAAGTACTAAGCCTGTGTCTTCATCCCAACATAGGGATTAGATACCAGTGATAGGAGGGTCTTGGTCAGCAGCTAATCATAGAGCTGCTTCCTTAAAAGCTTTGAGTACTTTTCTTTAAAAGTTTAGGTCTACTTAAAAGTCTGTAAAGTGCTAATTTTTATCATCCTGAGAGATCTATTTCTCCCCTTTCCAGTTGCCAGTGGCATTCTCCCAAAACTGTTAGTATCTGTATGTTATGGAAAGGTACTTAAATGCTATGATAAATTGTATGAAAAAAACTTTAAAATTCAGCAAGCAATTCTTAAAGATAAAACTGGCCCTCTAGTACCGTAATTAGTTTAGAATTCCATCTTTTAAATTATTTGCACCTTGAGAATCTGTGATATGAAACATTTAGCAGTAAACTCTTGTCCCAAGGAAGCAAAGTGAGAGTAAGCGCTGATCCGGAGCAATGTGGAAAAGGGCTGAGTTCACCATGAGTTTTTCAGGATGCAGCACAAAGCATATCTAAATACTACATAGATCATTATCTTTTAACTTGACCAATCATAGCAAACTAAGGGAAAAATACGTAAGCTTTTTCTTTGGAACCTGAGACACCAGGAGCCTTAAACCACAAATAATCTACTATAGCTATGGACAGGGTAGTCAAATTTATTTCAAAACAAAAGCTTTGTTGGGCTGCATCAAATGCAGGAGAAAAGGAATACTTAGGGGCATGGTTAAATTACCAGTGTGCATAACAGTGAGGTATGCCTCAAATAAGCTTTTAAAACTTTATAAACTGAACTAGAACATACCCATGCAGTAATATTTTTTCAGTGCTACTAATGGAAAAAAAAATTAAAGCCTGCACTGGAAATTTACAATATGGCAGAATTTGTTACCTCTACCTTTTGACTCTAATGTACAGATTTTATGACAGGGTCTGTGTTAAAAATCTAAACATTTCCACAAGATTTTAAACATCACTGGAAAGCTGAATTTAGAGGAAACAAAATCAGATAAAAGTACAATGCCCGTGACAGCCAACATTATGTAACTGGGCTGTATGAGGTTGTTTAGAAGGCTAGGGTTAAAAAGATAGACAAAAAGATTTTTAAAAATCACCCCCAAAGTTGATGCGCTGATTTGAACATAAGTACACCAGATACTACAGCAAGGGGATATACACTGCAAAAAGATAATCTATTTACAGAAGAGTGATTTAAAGACATTATGGTTTTCTTTACAAACAGATGTAAGAACAGGAACTGTCCACTTTTTAAAAACTCTACATTTCAACCCTCCACTATTACACTCCACTGAATTGCCTGTATCAAAGGCAGTTTTTTGTTTTTTGTTTTGTTGACTCTCCAAATAAATTTCCATCATTTCTTCATCATCTGTGGGCTGGCTGTCCTGAAAAGTCTCAGGGCATAAGTCATAGGAGGGCAGGTTTTTGACCTGCTACTAAAAATTAAACCATCAAAAACTGGAGATCCCTTTCCTGCACCCTGTTCCTCTCACTTTGTGCAGTTCAGTCATCACTGTCCGACAAGGTCTCGTACTGTGCTGAGAGGAGCGGGGCAGGCTCTCGCTCCCAGATCCTGTTCTGTTGGTGAGGAGCTGCTTGGTTCACAGCAGACGGAGCACATGCAATCGGCGTTGGTGGCGTACTGCTTAGCATCCGCATAGTCAGAGGGTTATAGGGAAACTGAGTTGAGCCTGACAAAAGAAAAATTAGGTTTTCATTGTCGTGAGCATACCTTCTATTTCATCCAATCCAACTTTTGTAGGATGGAGTAGAGCAGGATTACTCTAAAATGGTCATGTGACACCATGAAAACAAAATGAATACAACACAGAAGGCCCAAGTCTCACCACTTAAATCCTAGTCAATGATACGTAGCAATCAGTTCGAGTCCAAAAAAGAAGAGTAACACGAGGAGCATCTGGGTGAGGGCTGCTTAGCCCAGAAGAGAAAGCCCAGGATAGATTTTAAGTCTATAACTATCAAGTGTTTCCATGGAGAATCCAAGTGGAACTATTAAGTATTAAGCTCTAATTGAAACACGCATCAGGTTATACCAAGAGCTTTCTTAACTCTTCAGGAGAAATGCAAAAGTATCAAAGGACAAGTAGCCAGGAATTTGAGCAGACTGAGGGGCAGCAGGATGCGTGTCATCTGCTGACTCTCACTAGGTAGATTTTAAAGTATAAAGACAGAAATGAGGTAATTAATGAACACTGCTACCCTTCATCAGTTTCTAGATGTTTAACTGTCCCCAGAAAGTCTCCTACAGCTTAAGAAACCCCAAAAACATAAAACATAACCATTTCATCAAATAGTAAATCTCATGTATGGTCTAATAATACTAACCCCAAGAGAGACTTGAGAAGCAGCAATCACTGGTCTAGGCTGAAAGCTTTCAAATTCAAACACAACCACTTTGCATGTGGCATGAGTTTTATAATGCAAAAGCCTGATATAATTTATATATGTCTTAAGGGGGAGGGCACATTTCAGATTTTTTTCAGTGACATGTATTTAATCCTAAGGAAAAGAGGCTTATGATTCTCTCAAACTTTAAAATCCATAGTATCCCAGTTTTATTCAGAAAGTCTGTTCCTTTTTAAAGCTACCATGATAGTCATTTTACGTTTTTTAAAGTTTACAAATAGGCACAAAATAGAAAATAGTATCCTGGAGTATTATTTTTCATCAGTTTGTGTAAATGTCGTGAACGTACAGACAGATGACATCTGTCGCCCAAGCAGGTGCAGCAGTGCAATCTCAGCTCACTGCAATCTCCGCCTCCCAGGTTCAAGCAATTCTCCCACCTCAGCCTCCCGAGTAGCTGGGATTACAGGAGCCCACCACTGCACCTGGCTAATTTTTGTATTTTTAGTAGAGACAGAGTTTCACCATGTTGGCCAGGCTGGTCTCAACCACTGACCTCAAGTGATCCACCCGCCCCAGCCTCCCAAAGTGCTGGGATAACAGGCATGAGCCACCACACCAGACCAGATGATGGCTTTTTAAGCTAGTCTTCTCATTTCTAATTTTGATTTCTTAGTATTTCCCTAAGAACTTTTTCTAAGAATGCCAATATGAAAGGCGAAGTTCTCTTAGAAGTGGCATGGTACATTCAGGTACAGTTCTCAAAGAACTAAAACTGCATTGTTTGCTTTGCAGATAGTAAATGTTCACTACCAGTGTAATACAGAAGTGAGAATGGATGAGATTATTTTTTCATAGCTCTTCCTTTGTTTACGGTAACTGGGTTTTGCATTCTAAAAATGTTTCAGGCTATATGTGCATTCAGTTTCTATTCTGGGCGTATGCATTGGTTGATGTCTGTAATACTAACACTTTGGGACGCCAAGGCAGGAAGAATGAGTTCAGGAGTTCAAGACCAGCCTGGGTAACAGTGAGATCTCATCTCTACCCAAAAAAAAAAAAAAAATTAGCCAGGCATGGTGGTGCACACCTGTAGTCCCAGCTACTTGGGTGGCTCAGGTGGGAGGATCACCTGAACCTCAGAGGTTGAGGCTGCAGTGAGCCATGATCATGCCATTACACTCCAGCCTGGGTGACAGAGCAAGACCACCCAAAAAAACATTTCTATTCTGGAAAGTGGAACCTATTAATTAAACAGAAATGGAATATAGGTTTCCAAATTAGAAAAATTGCTGAATTTTGAAGAACTAATAACCAAGACATTGATATAAGTTGCTTTGTCTCGTTTTCTAACAGTTAAAGCAAGCTCCTTACCTGTTGAAGAGGGCCTGTCTTCCCAGGCCCACCCTGGCGTCTGCCTATGGTAATCCCCTTCTGAATGTACAGAGGAGACTGAAGACGGCCGTTCAGTTCCTAAGTAGCCTTGCCCAGGGATAGGAGATTTAGATTTCCTGCTGTTTGACTTGCTGATCAGCTTTGGTTTGCAAACTCCTCCTAAAAGTGAAATTCAAGTTAAAGTATTAATATATTTAAGTTCTCAAAAATCACCCAAATGCTAATGATTATACAGTGCTAAATGAAAAAAGCAGAATGGTAACATGAAGAATCCAGACCCTAGTACTCAAGGAAATAAAACTCTATAGGGATACCTCAGAGATACTGACGGTTCAGTAAGTCAGAATCATTTTGCTGATGGATGGTCTTGCCTCCATGTGGATGGCTGCTGACTAATCCACGTGGTGGCTGCCGAAGGCTGGGGGTGGCTGTGGCAATTTGTTTTTTTTAAATGAAATATTTATTTGTAGCATGCAATGATAGCATTTTACCCACAGTAGAACTTTCAAAATTGGAGCGATCCTTAACCCTGCTTTATTAATTGGGTTTATGTAATATTCTAAATCCTTTGTTGTCATTTCAACAATGTTCACAGCATCTTCAGAGGCAGAGTCAATCTAAGAAATCACTTGCTTTGCTTATTCCTAAGAAGCAACTCCTCATTCATTTCAAGTTTAATCATGAGATTGCAGCAATTCAGTGACATCTTCCGGCTCCACTACTAGTTCTAGTTCTCTTGGTATTTCTTTTTTTCTTTTTTAAGGCAGGGTCTCACCTCTGCTGCTCAGGCTGGACTGCAGTGGCACAATCACAGCATACCAGTTCACGAAAGCCTCGACTTCTTGGGCTCAAGCAATCCTCCCACCTCAGAACCAAGTAGCTGGGACCACAGGTGCACACCACCACACTTGGCTACTTTTTAAAAGTTTTGCAGAGATGGGGTCTCAGTATGTTGCTCAGGCCAGTGTCAAACTCCTAGATTCAAGTGAGTCTACTGCCTCAGCCACCCAAAGTGCTGGGATTACAGGTATTAGCCATCACACACGGCCTCTCTTGCTATTTCTACCACACCTGCAGTGACTCCCTCCACTGACGTCTTGACCTCCTCCCAAGTTATCCACGGGAGTGGGACTCATCTTCCAAACTCCTGTTAATGTTGATACTCTGATCTTCTCCCATGAATTACAAATGTCTTTAATAGTACCTAAAATGGTGAATCCTTTTCAGAAGGTTTTCAGTTTACTCAGATCCATGAGAGGAATCACTGTGGCAGCTATAGCCTTATAAAATGTATTTTTTAAATAATAAGACCTGGAAGTGGAAATTGCTCCTTGATCCATGGGCTACAGAATGGATGTTGTGTTAGCAGGCATGAAAACAACATCTCTTTGAACCTTTCCTAAAGAGCTCTTGGGTGATTAAGGTACGTTGTTAATGAGCAGTAATATTTTGAAAGTCATACTTTTTTTCTAAGTAGTAGGTCTGAACAGTGGGCTTAAAATATTCAGCAAGCCATTCTGTAAACACATGCTGTCGTCTAGGCTTTCCTCCGTTTCTAGAGCACAGGTGAGTAGACCGAGCATAATTCTTAAGTGCCTTAGGATTTTCAGAATGGTAGAGGAGCACTGGCTTCAACTTAAAATCAACACCTGCATTAGCCCCTAACAAGAGAGTCAGCCTGTCTTTTGAAGTTTTGGCCTGTTCCAGTAGAAGGCTGTTTTGTCTGTATGGAAGATCTGTTGTTTAATGTAGTCACCTTTATTAATGTTCTTAGCTAGGTCTTCTGAGTAACTTGCTGCAGAGTCTTCATCAGCACTTTCTCCCTCACCTGGCACTTTTATGTTAGGGAGAAAGCTTCAGCCTCTCAATCAGCCTCTGCTAGCTTCAATCTTCTCGTCTGTGGCTTCCTCGCCTCTCTCATTAGAACTGAGGAGTTAGGCCTTGGAACAGGATTAGGTTTTGGCTTAAGGGAATGTTGTGGCTGGTCTTTGGTCTTCTATCCAGACCACTAAAACTTTCTGTGTATCACAAAACACTGTTTTGCTTTCTTACCATTTGTGTGTTCACTGGAATAACACTTTTAATTTTCTTCAAAAACTTTTCCTTTGCATTTACAATTTGACTAATTGTTTGGTGCATAAGGTCTAGCTTTCTGCCTGTCTTGGCTTTCAACATGCCTTTCTCACTAAGCTACTAAGTAAGCTTAATCATTTCCAACTTTTGATTTCAAGTGAGAGACTTGTGACTCTTCACTTGAACACTCAGAAGCCATCATAGGGTTATTAACTGGCCTAATTTCAGTATTGTTGTGTGTCAGGGAATAAGGAAGCCAGAGGAGGTGAGAGACAGGGAACAACTGTCAGTGGAGCAGTCAGGACACACACCGCCATTTTTTATTTTTATTTTTATTTTTTGGGATGGAGTTTTGCTCTTGTTGTCCAGGCTAGGGTGCAATGGCACAATCTTGGCTCACCGCAACCTCCGCCTCCTGGGTTCAGTGATTCTCCTGCCTCAGCCTCCTGAGTAGCTGGGATTACAGGCATGTGCCAGCAAGCCAGGCTTATTCAGTATTTTTAGTAGAGATGGGGTTTCTCCGTGGCTGGTCTCGAACACCTGACCTCAGGTGATCCGCCTGCCTTAGCCTCCCAAAGTGCTGGGATTACAGGCATGAGCCACTGCGCCCCAGCCAAGTTTGCCATCTTATACAGGCGCTGCTCATGGTGCCCAAAACAATTACAGTATCAAAAATCACTGATCAGTCACAGAGATAATAATCATGAACAAATTTGAAATATTGTGAGAATTACCAAAATGTGACAGAGACAAAAAGGAGAATGCATGCTATTAGAAAAATAGTGCCGACAGACTTGCAGGGCTGCCACAAACCTACAGTTAAAAAAAAACCAAACACACACACACACACACACACACACACACACACACACACACACTCTAAAACGAGGTATGCTTGTATTTAAAAGAAAGCCAGAATTTCACTTGTAGCAATCAAAACAAAAAACAAGGGTCGTCCTCCTGCCATTAATTTTAAAATGTGGTTATTAAGGAACTGAAATTTCTGGAACTTCAAGGCTTCTTTACTGGCCTCAGAGTACAGAAACTACTAAAGAAAGAAGGCAGGGTGACAAAAATCATACCTCACAATGACCAACCCCCCTTTCCAACTGGAGTTAACAACACACCACACAAAGAAACAGTATGTAAAGGAAAAAGTGCAAAACAAAGCTTCTTTATGCTACTACAGGACTTGAGCAGAGGCCCAGCAAGTGTTGGTAGCCCTTTCTATTATCCCAGACTTTGCAGCTGATGAACTCAGCAGAAGTTCACATAAGTGAGACACCTCTGACTGTGCTCTAGAAGAAAACGTGAAAAAGATCTCAGAAGAGATCAGAGCCCAGGTCACCAGCAAATATTAGCCCCAGCAGAACAATTTCACACTGCCCCAAATTCCCATACAACCCGTACAGTGTAACTGCCTAAGTCACCAGTCTTATAACCTTAAAACACACACACACTTAAAGCCAATAAAAATTGGAAGGTAAGAACAGAAAGAGGATGATGATGCTTATTTTTCAGAGCAGGAAGTAAACTGATGAGGTCTTAAAGTTAACATGTATATAGGTTTTTTGGTGTTTTTTTTAAAGACCTCTAATCTTTTTAATCTTTTTCTTAACCACAATATCTAAACTAAAACAGAAACTGCTGAATTTCAAGTAATTTTCAAAAGCGCAAGAGATACTAGTTCTCAAAATATTAAGAAAAGGGTTGTAAGATTAAAACTTAGGATTTTTTTTTTCTGTGCTTGTTTTTAACAGAATGTATAAAATCTTATACCGAGACATGTCTGAAACAATGCTTATCGGATAGAAGCACTAGCATTCTGCATGGTGTAACTTGAAAAGTTAGGTTTTTTTCTTCCCTTTTTTCAGACAGGGTCTTACTTTGTCACCTAGGCTGGAGTGCAGTGGCACAATCCCAGCTCTATGAAACCTCTGCCTCTTCGGGCTCAAGTGATCCTTCCACCTCAGCCCCCACAAGTAGCTGGGATTACAGGCGCAAGCCACCAGGCCCAGCTAATTTTTTGTATTTTTGGGAGAGATGGGATTTTCACCATGTTGCCCAAGCTGGTCTTGAACTCTTGAGCTCAAGTGATCCACCCACCTTGGCCTCCCAAAGTGCTAGGATTACATCTTTTTTCCTAATCTTTTCTTTGGCATACGATTATTTAATTTTAATTTATTAATGTATTTATTTAGAGACAGAGTCTTGTCACCAGGCTGGAGTGCAGTGGTGTGATCTCGGCTCACTGCAACCTCTGTCTCCTGGGTTCAAGCGATTCTCCTGCCCCAGCCTCCCGAGTAGCTGGGATTACAGGCCTGTGCCACCATGCCTGGTCATTTTTGTATTTTTAGTAGAGACAGGTTTCAGTATGTTGGCCAGAATGGTCTCCCTCTCTAGATCTCGGGATCTGCCCACCTCAGCTTCCCAGAGTGCTGGGATTACAGGTGTGAGCCACCACGCCCCGCCAGCTTACAATTGTTTTATACTGAGCCTAATTTTTGCAGTTAAATCATTTTTATTCAAAAACATAATATGTGTGTTACAATTACAATGTAGTATGTATAGATGAGGACTAGATGCAAACAAATAAAAAAATGGACATCCCAGGAGGGTGACACTTTGTGTAATTTTCTTCCTTTTTATTTCTGTTCATGTCATTATAATGTCTTGGTAAGTTTTTAAAAACATTTTTTAAGTAACTGAAATGCTAAGAGGTGACTCTGAGCACATAAAGACATAAATGAAGTCTCTCAGTGATGCACTGGAACTTGGGAAATAAACTGGCTTTGGGGGGAAAAGCAGCAGAAAAGCACTAAAATGAAAGCTATACCTGAATGAGGTGATGGGTCCCCTTCCTCTCTCCGTGTCTCACCACTGGTCACAACTGAGGTGTTGGCAGTACCAGACACTACTCCCATAGGCTGGGACATGACAACTCCATGATCCTCAACTTTGTCATCAAAGCTTCCCATGAGAGCCTTCCTGATAATGTCTTCCAGCCCGAGATTACTGGCAGGATCAGCAAAAGAATGGCCTCTAGAGCTAACTGAGCCTGGAAGAGAATCAAAAGCATTTCCACGTCATTTCTGAAAGGCCAATCAGGAAACAAACGTGAACAGTCGCTTCAGCCCACGGAATACATATAGCACTTGGCAAGTCACCTAGAACAACACCAGGACCCACCACACAGAGACCATCTTTTTTTTTTTGAGACGAAGTCTCACTCTGTCGCACTCAGGCTGGAGTGCAGTGGCACGATCTCGGCTCACTGCAACCTCCGCCCCCAGGTTCAAGGGGTTTTCCTGCCTCAGTCTTCCAAGTAGCTGGGATTACAGGTACCTGCCACCACACCCAGTGAAAATTTTGTAATTTTAGTAGAGATGGCGTTTCACCATATCGGTCAGGCTGATCTCAAACTCCCAACTGCAGGTGATTCGCCCACCTTGGCCTCCCAAAGTGCTGGGAGCCACCACGCCTGGCCCAGAGATCATCTTAATCCACAAATAACTCCTTAAGGAAATTTCTTTCCGAAGTGAATCAGTCACCCATACTTCTATTAAAGTTCCCAGTTCCCTAGTTTCTGACACTGTTCTTTAATAGTTTCCATTCTTTTTGTTCATTTATCTTTTCAATAGGAATTTATTGGATCTCAGTTCCTTTCTGTGCTACTGACTAAACCTTCCTTCACTAAATTACTTATTCATTTTTCATACTGGAGCAGTCACTTCCCTGGCATACAGTTGCTACTCGGTACATTTGTTGGACTGACTACTGCTGTACCAATTTTGTATTGGTAAATAATGTCTTTTCAATCTTACCTGATGTAGTAACTGCTGGCAGATTAAAGATCTCAGTTCCTGGCTGAGCAGCTGCTATATTTAAGCAAAATTTAAGTTAATTAAGATGTGATAATCATATATACCAAACTAAAGTCTCAAAAAATTCCTATAATGAAATTAATCTCTTTATTTTCCATGATCCCCACCTTTGTTTTTCACTCATTGAGTGAAGATAAAATGGAAGAACATTTTTTGAGACAGCGTCTCACTCTGTTGCCCAGGCTTAGTTTTTTAAAAGGAAATCAGGAAATAGGTGAGTAGGAACATCAAAAGAGGATTAGTAAGCTGGGTGCAGTGGTACGCTTCTGGTCCCCCAGCTACGCAGGAGGCTGAGGCAGTAGGACTGCTTGAGCTCAGGAATTTGAGGCCAGCCTGGGCAACACAGTGAGACACTCCCATCTGTTAATAAAAAAGGAAAAAAAAAAAGAGTGAATAAATAAAGGAGCAATGTAACCCAGAAAAAGGGGAAGAAAGTTTGCACTGCTGGAGAAACAAATAGGAAAATGCTGTTCTTAGAACAGGAATCAAGGCTTTCTAACGAAGAAGAAACCTTGGGCTCTGTCTGAGATGACCACAACAAGTACCCAGGCAGCCTGGGATTAGATCCTGAGGAAAGCTGCCTCAGTGGATACTACGAAAATGACTGTGTGTTTCCCTGTATGGCTAACTAGAAACTCAGGATATCTGCTGGAAAAAAAAGACTGTTAATCCTTTTCATTTCTGCTGACTGTGCAACTTGTAATCTGCAGTTTGAAAAACAGCATAAGACCTGTGAACCACCTATAATAAAGCAGTGTGCCTTTATTATAGGGGAAGAATTTAGGACATAAATGGTGTTTCTGTCATTCCTGACTTGATGCTGAGAATTTTAGAGAGAAAAAAGGAATTCAGGAAGCAAGTGGGTGGGCAAATGATGTCCCAAAAAATGTGAAAATTTTTTCTTTGTTTTGAGACACAGTTTTGTTCTTGTCACCCATGGTGGAGTACAATAGTATGATCTAGGCTCACTGCAGCCTCTGTCGCCCAGGTTCAGGCAATTCTCCTGCCTCAGCTTCCCAAGTAGCTGGGATTACAGGCCTCCACCACCACGTCCAGCTAAGTTTTGTACTTTTAGTAGAGACAGGGTTTCACCATGTTGGCCAGGCTGGTCTCAAACTCTTGACCTCAGGTGATCCACCTGCCTTCCAAAGTGCTGGGATTGTAGGCATGGGCCACTGTGCTCAGCCAGAATGTGAAATTTCTAATGAGACCAAAGAAAGATGGACTCTTAACCAAAGGGTGAGCACATTAAAGAAGAGGGAAGAGCGCATGTGCCTAGAAGCAAACTTGGTTGATCAGGGAGGCTTTAAACTGACAAAGAGAGGAGAAGTCTTCAGAAGAACCAGGAAACAATGGCCATGGATGATAGTCTTACTTATGAGCCAAGTGACACGGTAAATAAACTGAGCCTGAAATAACAGAGCCTTGTTATCATGAAGTGCGTAGAAGAGGAGTCATTCATTCATTAGATATTTAATTGAACAGTTATTTGGCTGAATCATAAGATTACCTTCTTATTGATCAAAAATGGTCAGATGAAGACAATTTCCAATAGTTAACCAATGATAATCCTTAGGTACTACATTTGCAGAATACCCCTTCCTTGGCTTATGGAGCTTACAGTGCAGTGTGGTGCTTCCTGAGGCCATACAAATCAGAATCACCTGGGGTAGCTTAGTAAATTTTCTACATTCCTAGGGCCCCATAATTCAACTATTTAATAAGCAATCCAGGTGACTGGTACCTACTGTTGAGCAAGAATGTGGTAACTGCTCAGAAATTAGCAGAAGGGAAGGTAGACATGTGAAAGCCACGGTGGAGGCCAACTTGACGGGAGGAAGTAACTCCTAACAGGAGGCAGAGAGGCCAGGATAGTGATGGCCAGAGTCAGGGCAACTGTGGTAGGGAAGGAAGAACTTTTTGTGTGGGGAGGTAGAATATGAATTCAATTTTAGATGCTTAGGGAGCCAGTAAGTTAGTCAAGAAGTAATGAGGTCTGCAAAGATATGTAAGTAGAGCTTGGCAGGAAAAGCTGCACTGCAGATACAAATTTGGGAGTTTTGAGCATACAACTGACCATTCATATCCCCAGAGTAGATGAGATGACCCAGATTATAAAGCATGAGGAGAAAGGGACTAAGAAGTGAGCCCTGGGGAAAACCAACAATCAAGGGCCAGGCAAAGCAAGACTGAGCTAAGGACACGGAAATGGCCAGAGAAGTGGAAAGAGGAGAACATGGTATCAGAAAGCCAAGAGAAGAAAGCATTTTGGGAAAAGGAAAGTGATTCCCTATGTTAAAAGCTGCAAAGAGATCCAATAAAGTAAATTTTAAAGCATTAAGGTTTTCAAAAAAATAAAGTCACTGATGTCCTTGGGAACACTGAGCTCAGATGCAATGAGGTGAAGTGAGGCTGTGCTGGCTGCTGATGGGTTGCATTTAGTTCTACTTCCCAGTGAGGGCTAAATGTGCCATGGTGGGCCCACTGGTTCTTTAATATAAGTTATCCTTTCCACCATGAAAAACAGGTCTTGCCAAAAAAAAAAAAAAAAAAAAAAAAATCCCAGACTTGAAAGCAGTTCTGTTAGTACTTCCCTTAAGACATGATTATCTCCTATTAAAGTTAAATATTCATTTCATCATGCATTTTCAGAGAATAGAGACCATCCATCGTACTAAAATACCCAATATAGCAGTATCCTACTCAACACATTAGGCAAGAAGGAAAAACTATAAAGTAGGCTTCTTCAGTTCATACAGGGCATTTCCCTGTCAAGAGTTTCCCACTTCAAGGGCAAGACAAAGACTAGAGGATGAGAGTAAACCATACAACGGTGAAATGATTTGAATCTCAGTTCCTGGCTGCTCTGGTATCTCTAGCTCTCCATGCTCGCACAAATTCATCTCTGGGTTCCGAGAGCATTTGAAAATGAGAGCATATTTTTGTTGGTGACACTTGAGGAGCTGTAAATAATAAACTGTTGAAGACTGGAGATAGAAAATAATAGCAACAGTCCTTTTTGAAAAGAAAGGCAGCCGGGCGTGGTGGTTCATGCCTGTAATCCCCGCACTTTGGGAGGCCAAGGCATGTGGATCACGTGACATCAGGAGTTCGAGATCAGCCTGGCCAACATGGAGAAACCCCATCTCTACTAAAAATACAAAATTAGCCAGGCATAGTGGCAGGCGCCTGTAATCTCAGCTACTCAGGAGGCTGAAGCAGGAGAATCACTTGAACCCAGAAGGCAGAGGCTGTGGTGAGCCAAGATTGCACCACTGCACTCCAGCCTGGATGACAGAGCAAGACTCAGGTCCCCCCACAAAAAAAGAAAGGCCATCTGTAGGCCTGATAACAATTATGGTAAGCATTCTAAAATATTTGTCTTTTAGATGATTTTCTTGCCACCTAAACAGATAATCTAGTAATTAAGAGCAAGGACAAGTTCACAAACTGGTGACACTGGCTCATCCTTTTCTCCTTGGCATTCAACATTTATCAGTCACACAGAGTGACAGATCTAAACACACATCCACCAGGCAGTTCACAGTGCAAGGCCCCCACTTTCCTTTCTTTTGACAGGGTCAGAAGACTAGTACATGGTAAATTACAGAAATAAGGCAGATTACCCTTTCCTCAGCTGCTGTCACAGTGCCTGGTCTTTCTGAGGAAGCTGAGCCGTGTTGGGGTGAGGCTCTCATTTCATCACGCAACTAACACTGTGTCCAGCAGCGCCAGCCCCACACTCGCCCACGCCATGGCCCCCGTCTCTGAGCACGCCTGCATCTACTTGGCCCTCACTGCATGAAGATGAGGTGACCATCTCGGAGGATAAGATCAATGCCCTCATTAAAGCAGCTGGTGTAAATGTTGAACCTTTTTGGCCTGGCTTGTTTGCAAATGCCCTGGGCAGTGTCAAAATTGGGAGCTTCATCTGCAATGTAGGAGCTGGTGAACCTGCTCCAGCAGCTAGTGCTGCACCAGCAGGAGGTCGTGCCCCCTCCACTGGCTCCAGCTAAGAAGTAAGTGGAAGCAAAGAAACAAGAATCTGTGGGGGTCTGATGATGACATGAACTTTGGTCATTTTGACTAAATCTCTTATAATATGTTCAATACAAAGCTGAACTTTAAACAAATAAAAATAAAGAATAAAGCAGACAGTGGTATACCCAAAGTCTCTCTATCACGAGGACTAACCTAGGAAAAGACCGATAAGACCAGGGAGACAGTAAAAGTGAGTGTGCTGACAGAGGATGAGGAGGTTCTGATTAATACTTGTATATCAACCCAGAGGAAAGGTTCTGCCACAGAGCATTAGCTAGGGTATCTTACCAACAATCTGGCTAGGATGCTGAGTGTGGAACTGTTACAAGCCAGTTGGTCCATCATTAGCAACATGGATTCTGGAGTTGGAACGCCTGGGTTTGAGCTGCAGCCTCATTACTATGTTAACTGTGCCAGCTCTTAAACCTGAGTCTCAGTTTCCTTGGCTACAACAGTGGAGATAATTATAATGTGTAACATGTAGGGTTGCTGTGAGGATTAAATGAGATTATATCTACACATGCTTTGAATAGAGCTTAGCACATAGTATGTGCTAGATAACCTTTTGCTACCATTATTATTTTAAATTTTATTTTATTATTTTTTTGAGATGGAGACTCACTCTGTTACACAGGCTGCAGTGCTGCAATAGCACAATCTTGGCTCACTGCAACCTCTGCCTCCCAGGTTCAAGCGATTCTCATGCTTCAGACTCCCGAGTAGCTGGGATTATAGGTACACACCATCATGACCAGCTGATTTTTGTATTTTTAGTAGAGATGGGGTTTCACCATGTAACCCAGGCTGGTCTCAAACTCCTGACTTTAAGTGATCTGCCTGCCTCAGCCTCCCAAAGTGCTGGGATTACAGGTGTGAGCCACCACACACCAGCCAATCTTTAATTTTTTTTTTTTAAGACAGAGTCGTGTTCTGTCGCCCAGGCTGGAGTGCAGTGGCACGATCTTGGCTCACTGCAACCTCCACCTCCCAGGTTCAAGCGATTCTCCTGCTCAGCCTCTTGAGTAGCTGAGATTACAGGCACACGCGACCACGCCCAGCTAACTTTTTTTGTATTTTCAGTAGAGACGGGGTTTCACCATGTTGGTCAGGCTGGTCTCAAGCCTCGTGATCTGCCCGCCTGGGCCTCCCAAAGTGCTGTGATTACGGGCGTGGGCTACCGTGCCTGGCCAATTTTTTTTTTTTTTTTTG